AGCTTCTCGACCGTTTGCGAGGGGTCCGGATTTTCACCAAATTGGACCTAAGGGGGGCCTACAACTTGGTGCACATCCGGGAGGGGGACGAGTGGAAGACAGCCTTCCAGACCCGCTTCGGAAGTTTTGAATACAGAGTCATGAGTTTCGGGCTCTGTAACGCTCCAGCCACGTTCCAGCACTTCGTCAACGATACCTTTCGTGACTTTTTAGACCGTTTTTTGGTCATCTACCTGGACGACTTTTTGATCTACTCCACGAATCCACGGGATCACGCGCAACAGGTGCGCGCGGTGCTCCAGCGCCTGAGAGATCATGGGCTCTATGCTAAGCTGGAAAAGTGCGCCTTCGATCTCGACGAAGTGGACTTTCTAGGGCACCGCATCTCTGCGGAGGGAATTTCCATGGATCCCGCTAAAGTCTCCGCGGTGTTAGAATGGGAGTCCCCCATGAGCAGAAAGGACATTCAAAGATTCATGGGTTTTGCCAACTACTACCGCAAGTTCATCCCAGACTTTGCCCACTGGGCGGACCCCATTACCCAATGCCTGAGAGGCAAACGGCCGTTCCTATGGACTGAGGCGGCTGAGAAAAGCTTTCAGCAGCTCAAGAAGCTTTTCACTTCTCAACCTATCCTGCAACATCCTGATCCAACTAAGCTTTTTGTGGTGCAGGCCGACGCGTCGGATGTGGCGGTCGGGGCAGTGTTGCTACAACCCGCGGGGGATCATCTCCAGCCCTGCGCATATTTTTCTCGGCAGTTGACTGCCCCAGAACGGAATTACACCATTTGGGAAAAAGAACTCCTAGCCATCAAGTCGGCGTTTGAGACTTGGAGACATTGGCTAGAAGGTGCTATGCAACCAGTGGAAGTCCACACGGACCATCGCAATCTGGAATATCTCCGTACCTCCCGGAAGCTAAACCAACGACAGCAGCGTTGGGCGTTGTTTTTTGAGAGATTCAACTTCCGGATTTGCTATGTGCCGGTGGCTCAAAACAAACAGGCGGATGCTCTGTCACGCAAGCCGGAGTATACTCGGGGCCAAGAAGATTCCTCCGAGTCCTGCATTTTGCGTCCAGAAAACTTTGCGTCCACCGGCGTACCAGGACCCCCTTCGACTCTGGCTGAAAGGATCCGAGCGCGGCAGCAAGAGGACTTGTGGGTGCAAGAGCAACTAGAGGCCGGGCTAAAGTTTCCGTTTCAGGAGTTGGATGGCATGCTGTGTCATCGTTCAAAGGTCTATGTGCCGCCTGGTCCCGAGCGGGAGGAAATTTTAAGACTATGCCATGACACCAAGCCAGCAGGGCATTTCGGGATCTTTAAAACAATGCAGCTGGTGCTAAGAGACTTTTGGTGGCCCAAGATCCGACGAGAAGTCGAGAAATATGTTAATGGGTGCCCTGTCTGTCACCACGCCAAGAACCCTACGGGCAAACCGGCTGGTTTGCTACAACCTCTACCCACTCCGAGTCGGCCCTGGGAAATCGTGTCGGCCGACTTCATCACGGATTTACCAGAATCTCAAGGTTTCACCACCATTCTGGTGGTGGTGGATCTTTTCACCAAGATGGGACATTTCATTCCCTGCAAGGGAGTGCCTACGGCCAAAGAAACGGCCGACTTGTTCCTGAGCCACATTTTCCGTCTTCATGGACTTCCAACGAGTTTGGTGACCGATCGCGGTGCCCAATTTACCTCGCATTTTTGGAAGGAGATACAGCGGCAGTTGGGCATCGAGAGTCGAATGTCGTCAGCACACCATCCACAATCCGATGGCCAGACTGAGAAGACCAACGCCACCCTTGAACAATATTTGAGATGTTTTATAAACTATCAACAGGACAATTGGTCATAGCTTCTTGCTGTAGCCGAGTTTGCTTATAACAACGCTACTCACGGGTCGACCAAGGAAGCCCCGTTCTTTGCTAACTATGGATACCACCCCCGGTTCTTTCCTGCAGTGGTGGGGTCTGGAGAGGTCCCTGCCGCTACCACCTGGCTGCAGGAACTCTCAGCAATTCAAGAGATTTTAAAGGCTCAACTGGAGCAAGCAAAAGAGGATTACAAACGGGTGGCGGATACCCATCGACAGCCGGGTCCACCGATTCAAGTGGGAGATCGAGTTTGGCTGTCCACCAAACATTTGCCTGTACAGCGCCCCTCTCGGAAGCTTGACGCTCGTTTTGTGGGGCCATACCCAGTGGTGGATCAATTAAATCCTGTAACTTTTAAGTTAAAGCTTCCGCGCGGCATGCGGATCCATCCTGTTTTTCATCGGTCGTTGCTTCGACCCGCCACG